CACAAAGTGTTCTTTGGTTGTCAGCTTGTCCAGCTCTTTCATGTGGGGCTGGGTAACAGAGTTACAAGTCAACAAAACGTCAATTAAGTCTCTGAAATAGACTACCTTGATGTACTTGTCCTGGAGCTTTCCAGTCTTTGTTTTCGTGAACCTTTCCACACGTTCATGCACTGGTCGTTCAAAGAGCAGATAACTCTATCCAGCGGATAAGTCACTATCCAGCGGATGAAATGTATCAGTTGTAATGCATTTTGTCAGCTAGATATCTACTTACCCGCTCTTTGAACAACTGGGGCCTGACCACTCTAAAAACGAGAATGATCTAGGCGATCGGCTCGAATTGTGAGGAAGCATTACTCAGACGAGCGATGAGAACAGAACCACAATGCCCAATGCTTTGTCAACTTTTTCTAACATAATAACTCATTCCCACCAAAGCCCAAGTTCTCTAGAGGAGAGGCGACTCCAGAGGTGATGGGAGAGCTCAAAATAGGCAGGAACACAGAGTATCGCTGCGGGGAGGTGGAAAAGTCGCCAATGCCTCAGCAATTCACGAAAAGACAGAATACGCGCGAACTGAGAAACTCGGGTAATTTTATGCTTGTGGTCAGCAGCATTACTTGCCATTACCCTAATTGTAATTGGGTGGGTAGCATTTAAAGTCAGGGTGTTTCTTCACAGGGGCATTAACGAGAAATTTGATGGGAAATTCGACTTTATCTCATAACAATGTATCTTTAAATCTAGGAGCCATTCCTTCTTTCCAGTAATTCTAGTCTTAGTTTCATTTTTTTATTCAACACATTGTAGCTGGTCAAAAACAGACTGAATTCTTTTTCTTAAGTTTTATGTCTGACAAGGTTAACGTACAACGTATATGGTTGACCACGAATATCATCTAATGGCTTGAATCCATATGTTTTGAGCACAAATAAGAAAAATGAAGAGGACCTCGTCACCTTGATTCGGTCGACGTCTGTAATTGACAGTAAAAGTAATTTTAACCAACCAAAGTGCAGCGGCTAAGAATATTCCGCAAGTGAACAAAGTGACTTAACGCAACTCCCTTAAGTTTTTTTTCTTAAGTAAATTGCGCAATAGGCCAATGCCTATGCGCTGTTGACAACGTTCTGTGATATATTTCAGACACGGAGGCCATAACAACACTGAAAGAAATGGATAGTTTGGCTTCTTTCCGTTACTTGACAGCTCATGAAGTTTTCGGGCCAAAGTGTGTTATCACTATAAGTGATCAATAAGGTCCAAAAGGACAAAGTATAGTTGGCAAGCCTTGTCGATAATAGTGGGTGTGTCTAATCGCTCGTCTTCCGTTATCATTTCTCCCAGATCCTTGAAGGCAGGACAACATCCTTTTGCTTGTGGTCACGTTGCGCACATTTGGTCTGCAATTTCAATTTTGTCTAGTCAATCAGGGTAGAATAATCTTACGCACCTTTCAGCTCCGGAAGAAAGTAAAGAATATCTGGCTTCCCAGAAGGGGATTCCAGATTGGCAGATGATCTAATTCTATGAACATTCCACTCCAGGACAACTCTGTGTAGCTCTTCTTGCATCAAATCAATGAAACAGAATTTGAAGCATTCTCGATGTATAACGTTCTCATCATTGTACAAACCAGAATCTCTTAAATTCTTAAAATACTCTATCCACCAGTCTGCACATCCCTGTCTCAAACGTCCCCACCATGCTTCTATTCTTTGATTTGAAGTTGATTTTCTGTAAATGAACTCTATTCTCCCAAAAAATCATCCTCAGAGGACCTGCGAAAGAATCGTTGAACAGCTGCCACGTTCACCATCTCAGTTCCCCTGTCTCCCAGAATAATGCGTGCAGTAGCTTCTAACTGCCTAACACAGTCAAGGTAATACTGAGCTACTATTTTGGGGTCGTTATTTTAAGATGCTACCTCAAGCCATAAAATTCTTCTATTGAAAGGTTTCAATTTGTCATAACCGTCTATAGACCCTTCTTCGAAGTCTATGCCTTGATCGGTGTTCCACTCCTTCATGGTCAAAGACCTTCAATAGGGACTTTAAGATCTGAGACGCGACGACTTCTAGAACGCGGTGGCTGATAAAGGACTGGAACTAAAACGACGTCGATAGCGCGCGAAAAGTAAAGTTAAGATCTCTGTCGCGATGAAAGACGACGCGACTGCAAACCGCTCTTTATCAGTGTGATTCTTCGGCAATTCTTTCGCAGAAATAGCCATGGCATCATTTAAGAAAGTCCAAGAAATGCTTTGTTTGTGCTTTGTTCGATAGCATCACCTCCACTTCTTCGTTGACGCTTCGGTTTGTCATCGCTTTCATCCGCTGATGAACCTCTTTTCTTCGTCTCTGACAGCTTCTCCATCGCTTTTAGTCTAACATCTTCCGCTTTAGCCCGATCGTAGTGACGTTTTTTGCTAGCTGTTCCCTGTGTTTGCTGAAATTCCGCTTCGCCACTTTCCTCCGACGCGATGATCATATCCAATAGGTTTTCTAGTTCCGTTGGCTCATCGGGAGTTATTCCAGTTTCTTTTTCCTCCGCGAGAAGTTTCTTCTTATGCTTGTAAACAAGGACTCCCACGTGGTCTCGGACTGATCGCTTATCAACCCTGAATTTCGGCACAGTGCATTTGTTCAAGGTGTCTGCTATTTTTTCCCACATACTGCTTCTTTGTGTTGACCCTTTCTTAGTTGTGTAGGGATTTACATTGACGACTTCTTTGCATAGAATGGCTTCATGATCATGTGTCCAAAACATTGCTGAACTAAAGGAAGCATAAAAACACACGCAGTTTAATAAAATTATACAAAATAATACAGGCTTAAAATTGGCTTTTAGCGGCAGATGAACGCAATAAATCGAGAATTGCAACGGTACAAGACACGAGAAGAGTATGCAGAAGACTCCTGCATTCACTATTTGCAGTTTTAGCTCGTGACTTACTTGAAAGTCTTCCTCGAAGTCGAAGTCGAAGGTGCTGCCATTTTATAAGCTTCGTACACCTGAAAGAAATTTAAAAATAATCAAAATCCTTCCATCTCTGCGATCTAAAATGTCGCCAGAAATTACGTCCAATGATCCTAGAGTGCTGATTTTACGTGTAATAGGGGAATATATCGTCATTTAATTAAAGCACAGGAAGAAATATACTCACGTTTTGTACAGAACGTCAAACTCGTAAAACCCACGTTCTCTGCGCGACGTGGTGACACCAGGACGACCGCTTGAGCATGCGCAACATGTCTCCTCTTTGAAAATTTACTTCCGGTCGCGTCTTACAGCCGTCGCGTCTCGGATCTTAAAGTCCCTAATACATGCCGAACAACGTCTCTCGTAGTAACAAGTCCGTAATGATTCACGAGTCTCTGGTGCATTGCTCTGTACCCAAGAAGACTACCGCTTCCTCTTAATTCCCCTTGCACTACCTGTACTATTTCATCTAAGTCGCTTTGAAAGCGATGTCTTCTACACCCCAGTCTCCTTAGAATCCTTTTCAAATGTCTCAGACTAAAACATAAACCATAACATAAAACAGTTTCTTGAGCAGCAAATCCAAGGTTAATGTAGGTTTCAATTAGTTTGTCTTGAGCAAGAGCGTTACCTCTGGTTGCTTGCAAATAATTCGGAAGCACTCCCCCTGAAGTTGTGCAAATAGCTGCTAAAAGGAATATTGAACAAATCTTCATAGCTACAGCGACTGTCGAACTTGTAGGGGGGAAAAAAACCCAGAACTCCATGAGGAGGAAGTTGGTGTATAAGACATGCACGAGTGGTGCGCCTGCGATTTGTCTTATGCTGATAGTGAAAATCGCACTAAAAGTGGCACGAAAATAGAAAAGATGTGTGTCCGTTATAGGGTTCCGTAGTTCTGTTTCCTAATAACGCAAGTGTAAAAACAACAACACCAAACATGCTGACACTTTTCACACTTAAGCAGCCTCACGTCAACAGTGTAAGAGAATAAATAAAAAGACCATGATGGTGACTGATACTGAGTACGCCTGTACACAGTATTAAATGATGACCTATTACGAACTGCATTTAAAGTTGCATCAAACTGCTCAGAGCTGCTAAAATGTGGAGGTAACTTAAATTCCATTTTACAAGTTGATGCAGAGATGTCTGAGATTTCTTCAACACTAAACTTTATACAACCTGGGGCCCGTTTCTCGAAAGTCCCGTTAACTTTTCGGGCCCGAAATCAAATATTCAAATCGAAATGAAAAGAATAAGAGCGCGGGTCCTGGCTAGCAGACTACTGCATTTTGTTTCGTTAACTGATAGTTTTATCATGTTAGATGCAAAACTATTGAAACCTCGATCTTTAATGGAAACGGAGACAGCTTACCGGGCCCGTTAATTATCGGGACTTTCGAGAAACGGGCCCCAGGGCGAAAAGCCACTGTTGGCAATTTACATTCAGTATCCATACTCCTGCAAACATAGGTCTCCTAGTACATGTATAGGTCTCTCTAGTCCTTGCAACCACCGCACCTCCTGCAGCCATAGGTCTCCTAGTTCACGTACAGGTCTCTCAACTCTTTCCAACCACGGCAACCCCTACAACCATAAGAGTCCCAGTACCCATATAAGTCTCACCATGTCCCCCAACCACTGCAACCCTCCAAGTATGTGTATAAGTCTCACCATGCCTCACAACCATAGTTCTCCCAGTACAAGTGCGTATTTTTTAGTTTTCAACCATCAGAATGTCATGCCTTTTAATAGTGTTAGTCCCCTCACTTTTCTAAACACTAATTCATCAGCAAAAGCGTTATGACAGGTAAAAGGTGTAAGGAAGTGAACTGATACACAAGGCATAAATGAGGCTCTGCATCATGAACATGCGAAAAGTGAATATGTAGCTTAACAAAACACAAAACAAAAATAAACTTTGACATGCTGACTAAAAATAAAGCATGAAAAACTTCCTTTTAAAGGTATTTACCAGGAAAAGGCTATCAAAGCGAAAAAACCTATTACAAATTTTCTCAGGCTGCTAAGCGTATGCAATGCGGAAGCCAGTTATGTCAATAAAAATAAATATTTTAACGCTAGTTCAGAGGAAGGTCTTAAGAAGTTATTATGAAGCCAGTGCTGGTTTAATGTCTGCTAGGATATTTCCTGTGTAGGAATTATTGACAAATATAAGCTTTTCTGTCAACCACATTTTGTGATTGCAAGAACTATCTTTTCCTGTTCTTTCACCAGACTTATCTTCGAATTTCACACTTGTTGGCTTTCCAATTTCGACTTCTCTCCCTTGCTTTTCAGAGCATTTATTTCTTGCTGGTGCGTGTCCAGTGACTGTTGAGTAGTTCTTTTGAAGTCCCCGTGGGTTTTGGCATCTTGCAAATCATTGACAGCGTTCCAAGTAGCCTCTAACATCTTTTCCACGGTTTTCATGCCTCTTATTTCATCTTTTATTTCTGTGCTGAGACAAGATATTTCTGCCAAAGAAGTTTTCCATCCTGTCCTCAAAACCTGATAGTTTATCCATTATTTGTGAGAGATGAGTGGTTGTAAGCCTCCACTCCATCACTCGGCACTTGATTTTCTGTTCAGAGATGGCAGTGATTGAGACAAGGAACTTGAAGATCTCCCTTCTGTAGAGTCTCTTCGACATGCTCAAGTGATGGTTGCATTTTGGCCTCCTGGTCGATGTTCCTAACAGAGCACAAAAAAGACATCTGTCCACTTTAACCTCGCAAGCAGGCCTCCAAAAGGAAGAATTAACTCCTAATATACACTTAACAATGATTGAAGAAGAACTCTCTAAATAGTCTGCATAACTCTTTTTCATCAAGGCCTGAAGCACTGCGGACATCTAAAATAATATAAGGATACTCATTTGTTCCAAGAAGATTAACCGCACCACTAGTTGCTGATTGTACTGGAGGTGGAGACTCTACTGCCGTAAGAGCTGGGGCAGGATGGAGAGTTTGCCCAATGTCCTTCCGCAATTAAAGCACTTGTCTGTGAGCTGCAGATGTCTGTGATGAAAGGCTGCTGACAAAAGGACTGAAAACGGAATTGCTCTGAACAAAAAGGCTGGATGGCAGGGTAAAAGGACCATAAAGAGGCCTCTCTTGTGAAGATCTGAAACGAGCTTGAGCAGTACTCCTCGATTGCATTTTTCAGCCACAAAGCGTGGAAAGGGCCCTCCGCTCAGTAGAACGTAGCTTCTTTTCATCCTCTGAGTCATCAGCAAGTTCTTCAGAGTCATATTCTTCCACAGCTATCCAACCAGCAGGACTTTTATCACCAAACAAATGACCTTGCTTCGTTTGTTCAACTGCACCTTTAGGTTTTTCTAACTACTTATTTATTACTGCAACAAGATTACCTTCCAAGAGCATGGAACAGGTCATGTTAACAAGTTGTAAGAGGTCAGAATTGAACTCTACGTTAGTTCTCAACTCCGAGGATTCGTGGCTTGCATCATCCATAACAAATAAAGTGAGATGTGCAAGTTGCTAAGAGAGATGCCATCGAGTTACCTTGTTCTGTAGCACTACCACGAATTGTCAGATTTTTTTTTAAACCTACCCCCCACCCCTCCAAAAAAATTCTTTTTAGCTCCTACTTAAAACAAGCCACCAAAAAAATCCCAGAATCGAAAATTTCAAACCCCAAAATATCCTTCGATCATCACTTGAAATCCGGGGTACCCAATGAAGTTGTATTGATGCATTTTTACACTGTGTGCTGCGAAGCTACAACACCAACAGAACCATAAATATTTCTGAATCAGCCCGAGGTCTATTGTTCTGATTTTCAGTTTTGACCTTAAAATGGCGATTTATTACAGTTATGTAAGGGTTACCTCATACATAAAAGTAATCACTGAATAACAATTCTCCCCCTGTATTGTTTATGTTTAAATGAATGAGGTCGAATTCACAGAACGATATTTGTGGATCAAATCACTTAGACATTCCACATCTCCTTTGTGAACTGCAAAACAGTAATTCTCCGAAAAACGAACATTGTAAAAATTTCCTGGAAGAAATGCAATCTCTTTTTCCTTTACTTCGTCCATAGAGGAATTCATAATTGTCGCTTACAAGATCTTGAGAACGGCAGACTTCGTACCACATTTATTTTTAGTTTCCATCCATGTATAGGATGGCCTTTGTTTAATGAGACTTACTTTTGTAGAAGCAACGTGCAACAACTTGAAGATAACAGTGCAGTGCTGGCTAGCAAAACTATTGAAACTTCGATCTTTAATGTTAATGGCAACAGCTTACTGGGCCGGTTGATAATAGGGACTTTCGAGAGACAGGCCCCTGACCTCTAAAAACCATACTCCTTTACAGACCTGGCCTTTAGGCAGAAATTGTCATCATTACTTACATTAGAGCGCAAACAAAAAATTCTTCAAATGTATTTTAAATTTGCAGATTTTTATTTTGTTCTTATTCATTTGGAATTGAAACGATGACTACGTTCATACGCTCCCATAATTCCCAAGAAAACCATACCCAGTTCCAGATCAAAATAGGTAAAGTGTATGCCCGTTTTCAGACCAAAACGACCCAAAGGAAGAAGGATAGGAGGGGGGAACTAGCTGATGTTTAATAGTACCACCCAGTTTATAGTGCATCCATCTGACCAAAATGTCGTTGCCCTTTTTGGTCAGATGGATGTTATCGTCCCGATCCATGTTCCTATTTCCCAGGGAAGGTGGTAAGTCATGGTAAAAAAACTCGGTCTGGAAAACATTCGTGAACCTGAAAATAAATATGTGTTAGTAACTTGTACTACAACAACAACAACAACAACATAAGCTTTATTTGCATGACTATAATTATGTAGTTACAGTATTGCAAAAGCTTTAACGTAAAGTTACAGTTTATAACAATGATAATGCAATGCAATGATTACTACAGTCAATCAAGTGTCATCAGCATGATTTGATAACAAATTAGTACGTAAATCATTACATAATGAGACAATTTTCAAGAAATGTGAATTTACGGAAAAATTCTGTGAGTTCATCAATTTAATTATTAATTCTGTGTAAGATAGCTGATTAAAGGCGGCAAAATTTTGTTGGATTTGATTGTAGAATTTCTCCCTTGGGATTGAATATTTTGGACAATGGAAGAGACAATGAAATTCGTCTTCAATTATACCAGAGTTACAAATAGGTCAGAATCTATCATTGCATCATGATCAAACTGTGGTAAAATGGGAAACACATCAATGATAGCAGTTGGGCATTTTTGATAAATTACAGTTAATATTTTGATGATCGTGGCAGGTATAACAGAAGGAGATGTACTCGCAAGATTGTTTGTTCTGCATAGTAGAGAAATATTTGCAACAGATTTGGGGAATTTCATTCTTTCCACCCTGTGCAGTATTGCCTCCACAGTGTCACCAGAAATGGCAGCATTTAACACTGTGGAAATGGGGAAGTAATCATTGTACTTAATAGGTGCAAACCTTTGAATATTTTTCATTATTGAATCTCCAATTAATATCGAAGTTTTTCCTTCCAGGTTGGATTTGATCTCTTCTATCTCTTGTTTTTTTGCTTTTCTAAACTTCGGAGCCAGTGGCTCTGCTCTGAACTTAGATATTTAAGAGGACAAGTTGTGATTAAAACAACAAAGAACTGGTGCTGGAGGAGAAATGGAATTTGAAAAAAAAGTAGATGTGAACAGTCTGTTGACATAATTACAAATGTGAACGTAGAGATTAAATGGCCTGGATATTTATACCTTAAGATACCCATGGGATCAGTGAAACAATGTGTGCTATGTATATTATTTGTTAAGTGCTAGCTCAATTTATGAACTACTATTAAAGCTTTAATTAATTGATATGTACACTCCCTATACATTTTTTCAAAAATTGGTGGTTTCAGTTGAGGTCAGTTACTTCCACCTTTATTTTCTTTTTATTCCAACCCTTTAAGCTACACTATCCAAGTACAATTTTCCAGGGTAATCTTCAGCCAATTTAAGAAAGAGATGAGAGTTTCTTAAATTACCATGACCTTCTCCTTTGTTTGAGTATGCATACTATTGGAAGAAAATTAATATTGGTCATTTTTGGAACTCAAAGGGTTATTCAGTTGTTTACTTCAATGAACTCTGATGGGAAATAGAGCTGTAATAGAGGTGGGCAAAGCAATTGTACATAGCCACTTGAACTGTTAGGAATTCCTAAACCCCTTTAACTTTAATGTCAAAATGCAAATTGTTCACCATGTTCTTCCCTTATTTCTTATTAATTTGAATTAATTTTAATTTTAATTCTAATTTTTTCACTTTGTTAAGCGCCTAGATCTGTTACTGGATAGGCGCTATATAAATGTTCTTCTTCTTCTTCTTCTTCTTCTTCTTATTATTATTATTATTATTATTATTATAAATGACACTTTAGTGGGGAAGCAGTTAATCTTAGGTGATCATTTAAATCTATTTAATGTAACTTCATGAGCTTTCAGTGCTATTTCTTGAAAAAATGGTTGATTGATCGGCTAACTGTGATCTTAATTTAAAATATTAAAGGTGGAAATAAATTCGAGTAACGAAAACAAGGTGAAAGTAAAATTGACAACTTTCAATCAGATTCTTCTTGAGATTTCATTTGTACCATAGGGGCTGTGAACATTTTTTTTACCATAGTCCCTCTTGTTATAATCTCCGTTTTCAAAACTCAAAATTTATTAAGTCCCCTATCTCTGATAAGCTCTCCACCCTTTTTGTTGTGATTTGATTTGTATCACTAGCAGGGAACATTCACTGAATCATAAAAAAAACACACAAGCTAACTCAGCACATTTCAGGGTTCATGGTGAAAGATTTTTGTACATTAATATTTTATTTCTGAAAGCCATGCAAAGTCAGGCCAGGTCATTGGTTTTACATTGCTTGGATTGTTCAGCAAACTTGGGTACAAAAAATTGATCACGGAAATACTGCCCTTTATAAGCATAATTTTTAATGCTTTTGGATAACCTTTCGATAACCAAAAGTTCATTACTTAAATTACTCCAGCAGACAAAAGCGATTGTGAACCCCAAGCGAAGGAGTAATATAAAAAAAAGTGGAAGCAAAGTCTGGGTGGTCACAAAGAGCACCCTATTTTTTGACTATGTGTGCAAAGTACCTATTACCAAGAGCCATAATAGGACAGAGAGGGACACTCAGGGCGTTGGCCGGGATATCTTAATTCCAAAAAAGTTATTTTTAGAACTATGCGGACCACACGGAAACAGTTTGATAAACTGGCCTTCTTCAGCAAAGAACCTACCGTAGAAATTGCTTAAAACTTCAACACAAAAGGGTCCTTTACAAGCAACGGTAGAAATCGGTTAAAGCGACCGCGTGACCATCGTTTTTGTTTGAACAGCTGGAAAGAGGACAAGTAGCATTGCGGCCCGGATAATCGTTACCGTTCAAGTGACCATGTGGACGTATTTTCTATTGAAAGAGGAAGGAAAAGAACGTATAAAGGTTTCCAGTATTTTTGTCAGGGACATGACCGGGAAGGCGGGAATCTTGTGGAACACTTCTTTTCCTGCTTGATTGATATTTTGTTCCGCACTTCACATTGGACAATTAGCAATTATTCTTTATTGAACACGAGGTTAATAGAAGTGGAATATTCGCGGCGAGGTTAATATTCGGTAAACAGTAGGTTTGATCTTTACAGAATTTTCAAACATTGCAAATCAAATCGGAAGCAATAGCCTAATGGGTTACTTGGAATCGCCAGAAGTTTAAATTCAGCTGTAAATTGTACTTCCAAGCCTAAGAAGGAAAGTAGCGCTTTGTTTTCACCTGTCGACTCGCCAAGTTAGGGAAAAAGGTATTTTGTGCAGCTAATTTGTGTTGTTCTTCGTTAGTGCAGACAATGGTGGCCCGGTTGCTCGAGGTAAGGAGCCGTTTCTCTGTAGTTTTTTCTGTCCTGATTAACTGAAATCTCGAGCTTTCGTTAAGATTTGTTTTCATTTTTTTCCTCATAACTCAGTTGAATTTGATGTCGGGGGAAAATTTGTCTTTAAATGTTGAGTTTACACACCTCTTCTACTCGATTAAACTGTAATTGTCAACATTCCATTGAGCAAAAAATACTGCTAAAGTTAATCTGAAAACGGTTTTTTGCAACTTTGAAGTCCTTTCTTACCTGCAAAAAAATGGACCGTAGAATTTTGCCGAATTCTGAAAGGTTCTTACTCTAAAAAAATTGACAATACAACGAGCTCACGAATTATTTACTCGCGAGGCTAAAACACTACAAAGACCACTTAGTGTGTATCCTGAAACCGATTTTTGCTTGTAAAAGCTTTATTTGTGTAAAGTTATTTGTGTTTTTCATGTTGCAAACGGTGTTGAAATAAATACGACAGTATGATAATCTCATCTGGAGTTTATTTACTTTATGTAGTTTTACCAAGCGTTATAGTTTTCTCATACACCTGTAATAATTAACCTTTACAGATCCTGCACCACAATGTATAGGCAAGATTTCCATACAACCCCAAACATTTGTTATGTGTGTTAAATAATATAAGCTTGCTGCATGGATAATAAATGTAGAGGTTTGGATGCATAGGACGTTTTGATGTTGTGTTTGCCACTTATAGATCCAGCAAGTTTTGTCTACTTTTGTAGGCACTCATGGTTTTAGGGGTCGGCTGCTGAATGTAGTCTTTTCTTTTTTCTCTATAGAAAGCACTCAGAAGTGTTAAGAATATAAACTACTGCAATAAGTTCAAGTTGTGTATAGCTTCGTGTTTATAATTATGTCTTATTTCTTGTACCTCCTCTCCTCAGTGAAAACCTAATTAAATCATTTTCTACATAGTATGGTGAAATCTGTATTATGCAGACCCCATATTAAGCAGACACCGTGTATTCAGCAGTCGAATAGCTCGAAATGTGGCAAAACGTTTCTTTCCATAATTTAAGAGAAACAAACCTGTATTTAGTGGATATCTCTAATAAGCAGAAAGCAGCAAATTTTGTGTGGATGTCTGCCTAATTCTAATTATACAAGTTTTTCTTTTTTATTTATAACAACCTCATATGCATAAAAATAGATGGTAAAAAGAAGCATGAGTGAGGGTGCAAAGAGAGAAGAACTGAGTCTTTATGCCAGGCTGGCTTCCCCCTTGAAGGTATAATATAAAATACAACATGTAAAGGTTTCATAAAACTGGTACATCATTTTTATGTTGTATGTCTTTTAGACTGTGAGCAGTCTCTCTTCAGCTCAAAAATCTGTAAGCGAGAGTATTTGAGCAGCGAAGTCCCGTGAGTTGTGAGGGTGCAAATTCGAATACGCTGCTTAAATACTCTCCCTTACAGATTTTTGAGCAAAAGAGAGACCGCTTGCAGTCTATATGTCTTTCAGTGTCTGCAAACTTTTCTGTTGTTTTCTGACAGGTTGAATTGAAGGAACAATACTGCTAGCAATCATGAATTATCTTTTAAGATGTGTGGATGACCTTGCCACGGAATTAATAGTGGGGAAAATAATGTACAAGCTTGACAAATAGTGCAAGTTCTATATTTTGGGGCAAGCCTCACGAGCCTCGCGAGTAACTAATGCGTTAGATCGGTGTTTTGCCAGTCTTTTTTAGAGTAAGAACCTTTCAGAATTCGGCAAAATCCTGGGGTCCATTTTTTGGAAGGTAAGAAAAGACTTCAAAGTATTCAAAAGAGCGTTTTCCGATTAACTTTACTTAGCAGTATTTTTCGCTCGATGAACTGTTGACAATTACAGTTTAATTGAAGAGAAGAGATGGTTTTGTAAACTCAACGTTTCCTTCAAAGGCTGATTTTCCCCAGAAATCAAATTCAACTTATGACAAAAAAATAAAATTAAATCTTTACGAAATTTCGAGATTTCAATGTCAAGAAAACTACAGAGAAACGGCGCCTTACCTCGAGCAACCGGGCCACCATTGTCTGCACTTATTAAAGAACAACACAAGCTGCACAAGAAACCTTTTTCCATGACTTGGCGAGTCGACAGATGAAAACAAAGCTCTTCTTTTCTTCACAGGCTGGGAAGCAGAATTTAAAGTTCTGGCGATTCCATATAACCCATTAGGCCATTGTTTGCGAAAGGATTTTTTAACTGCAATTTGATTTGCAATGTTTGAAAATTCTGTAAAGATCAAACTTTTGCACATACCGATTTTCACACATGAATTGATCCGTCAAAACCGTCAATCAAATTGAACTTAAATGGTCTCCTTACTGATTTTTAATCTTGGTGAACAGTGGCTTTAGGAAATTAACCTCGCCGCGAATATTCCGCTTCTATTCACCTCGTGTTCAAGAACTTGTTAATTGTCCAATGTGAAGCACGGTACAAAATATCAGTCAAAGCAGGAAAAAGTGTTTTCCACATGATCCCTGGTCATGTCCCTGACAAAATACTGGAAACCTTTATATGTTCGGATCAGTTTAGTTTTCTGGGCAACCGAGCTCCTCGCGCTTGCCTTCGGTCGCCTGAAAAACCTCGAAAAAATAACGCCTGTTCAAATTTTACGGTTAACACGGCATCAAAACAGCCTTCTTCCTCTTCCACTTTAAAAGGATGGGGAGCACGGAGTTAAATAGTAATGTGACTTTGGTGACTAGATCTGACTATTTTTGTTGTTTCCTTCAATTTTAAAAGCCTTTCAACCATGGTTAAGCCAGTTACGATGGCATGTGGACACTCCGGATGTCAGAGCTGTTTAGCAACGGCGTTTACCATGTCATCTTCACCAAAATGCCCTCTCTGCAAAGAGGTTTTCCCAAGTGGCGCCGCACTAAACGTCAACATCGTCCTTGATGACATAACTTCGAGACTGGAGATAAAGTGCACCAACAGTGGCTGTGAGTGGGTGGGGAAGCTTGTGAACCACTCACAGCACTCTAACACTTGCGCAAAACTGCTTGTCGAATGTCAAAACAGAGGATGCATGGAGAAGAAGCCGAGGGAGGAAATGGGGCGGCACATTTCCCAATGCGAGAAGCAGGAGCTTCCTTGCCGCGACTGCGGGAAGCGCGTAACAAGGGATTCTATGCGCGAGCACAGTGAGTCTTTGTGCTCGCACAAAAGAATCTCCTGTCCGCTTAGCTGCGGAACAAATCTGCCACAGTAAGGCTTTTATACATAGCTTTATATATATTTAACAATATTATTCCTCGAGCCCGGATGGGCTCTGAGGCAATAGCGATAGCAATAGCCATGAGGGCTCGAGGAATAATTATTTTTGGTAAAATCCAGCTAGTTGGTGAAAAGTTTGTTACCAACATGGAAGGTGTTAGCCGACGTAACTTTACATTTTTAACTTCTATGTTTTCATAGATGTCACCTGACGCTTCATTTGAGCGAGTGTTCCGAAAAAGCAGTGCAGTGCAGAGTCACAGGCTGCAAGACCATCACAAAGAGAAAAGACACCGAAGAACACATCGTTACCGCCGCAGCAACACATTCCGTACTTCAGGCGGGAGAAGTGCAAAAACTACGGGGTGTGATGCATTTTAAGTTTCGGTACAAATCTAGCTTATAATTATACAAATACAAACATTAAAGACTGCAAAGAAGCACGTATATAAACAAGAATTACTGTAACACCAACAATATTTTATTCATGTGTTGATTGTTAAAAAAAAAGAAATAGTGATTGCACCTTTATATATTGTGTACAATCTTAAACTAGGAAGTATTTAAAAAACTTCGAAAGACAATCGTCGAACCAAATAGTTTGCTGCATAGGTTGCCATTATTTCTGAAATAAATTTAATATTATCTTTCCCTTTTCTGCAGAGACCCAAACCAGCGTGGTTTCTGGAGGAGGAGAATGTGTTCTCCTTCTGCTGGAAAACAAGTGGTTTAGATACCCTAACTGAATCCGGAGCAAGCACTGAATATCTTGCCCTAACGGAAACAGGTGGAGAGGAATTCTGTCTATCGAAGGAGGCCAACTCCACCTGCTGTCCCTACAGCTGGTGTCTTCTGTGACACCAGTAATAGTTGGAACAAGGTAAAGCAGACATTAAATTCAGAAAAAAAATAATTTGTCACTAGCGTGGGACTGTAGATAAACGATTGATAACAATACCTAGTTCTCGCCATTTAGCCCATCCACGGAGCCTCTTCATGGTTTTTATTCCCCATAGATAAATTGCCAAGAATCCATAAACTAACAGTATTAAAACAAAGAACTGAAGTAAAATATCATTGACTCGACTAAAGTTATACTTAGAAATGGTCATATTCACAATAGGGACGGATTATTATCCGTCTGAGACGGGTTATCCGATGAATAATTCGCGTCAGACAGATAATACGTTGAAAATGGAACGGTATTAATTTTGGATGGAGAAAATCCGCCCGACTTTGTCCATCTTTTTTTCCGTGAATTTTGATAGAGTTTGAAGATAGATAACCCGTGTCTGTTGATTTAACAATTACGAATTTGTCGATACCTTTATATTCTTACACCAACATTTTCACCCTTTTTTTCAGTTGTAATTTTTACATTTTCGTTCATTAATTACAATTACGTTCTGCCTTTAGGATTGTATTGATGCCAGGAACTGCTTCGGAGAAGATTTTCTCCTTCGATGCCAGAGAAATCAAGGAGGGGCAGCTGGCTGGAAAAATTCCGGCAGTAGATTTTCGTTCCATTGTGACAGACGGGACAATGTCTGTAAAATATGTTATGTCATATTACATATTGAAAGAAGTTTAACTACAGTCTAGGCCCGGGGGGGGGGGACTCCGTATATAAAAGGGGTGGGGATGCTCGTCGTCTCGCTTATATTTAGCCGTAAAGGTTTCTTTTAGGGTTGCACTCGAAGAAATATCAAAAAATTATGTATTTTCAATTCGTATTATTTACTCGATTCATGTAATAAAAGTCAAAAATGCTAAAATGTGCCACATGTGTATTTATAATGTTCATAAAGATAATGGCAACACAAGTAACACAATTCATTTAATTTCACAATATTTTCAATAAAGGTAGAATTACCAGTTATTTTTAGTGGGTTTAGTGACTTTTTTGTACATTTGTTTCAGATTTTTCCTTGAGTGGTACAGGAGTTAAATTTCCAATGTTCTTGAAATTGAGTTGCATCACCTGAACTCTCCAAAAGATAAAGAGGTCAATGAAATACAGGTTCAACATGGGGAAGCTTTTTGTGGTCTGTGCATGAAGAAATGCTACAGGGGTATTCCAGTGGGTCTCAATTTATTTACAGTAATCATTTTTCCCTCTTCAGAAGATAACAGAAGTGAAGCTTATATACTGAATGCTCCCATACATCAATACCCCATCTGTTTGGGGTAAATGTCACAAAAAAGAAACCTCACGTGTACTTCCTTGTGTTATATTTTTAGCATCTTTACAATTTTAGTTTTCTTGTACTTTGTGCCGTGCCCTGCTAAGTAAATCCATGTGCCTTTCACAGTGTTCTGCAGGAAACATAATGTACTGAAATTGTGTGAAGCTATAGAACATTTGCACTCGTAGAGGTTTCCCCTCAGAGATATAAAGAGTGACAACATTATTCCTACAGAGGTAAACAATATGTACCACCTAATGCTCAGTGATTTTCGAAAGGCTATCTTGCTATCGGATGCCCCTTCAAAACAGCAGTCCATGACTGCTCACTAGCACTGACATGTAGCTTCAGAAAATTATATGCCTCAGATATTATGTTTTCACTTGGCGTTAATAAGTCATGGCAAAAGTTAGTGGCAGAGTGAAAGTAGAAAGTCATTTTGTGGAAGGGCAAAGAAAATGCCTTCAGACACTCCAAAGTTGAGATTTACTATTTCATGTCTTCTGTCACTGCTCAAAACAAATTTTTAGCTGGAACCTTTTTTCTGTCCAGCAATTATAAAATATCATATTCCTATTTAAAAAGGAAAATCAAAAAGTTATCTTACTGTGTGAATTCCAATACTAAATAAATCTAGTAAAATTCGACTCATTTAGTGAAAAGGGTATAATAATATTGAAGGTGTAAACACCATTGGTCTAAGAAGTTTAGGTTTAAGTGAAGAAATGCACCATGTTAATGTTGTTGAGCGAAGGCTGATATAAATCTCGCCAGTCTGTTTGATCAGTTTAAAAAGACAAATCCTATTGAACTCACAATCAGGGTTGTAAAGAGCAGCAAAGAAATTATTTGTTCATGTCTGTGCTAGTTTCTATTCACAAATTATATGAAATACAAAGTAATTTCACCATTTGTTGTATTATTGGCTGTTGGGCTTTCAAAATGTGGTCATTTTAGGAGGCTCACCATCAAGATGTGGTCATCTCTAGGTATAGTCAGTGAAAACTAGAACAAATAGCGGTAAGAACAAAATTGTCAGTTTTGATGTGAAGTTCCTTGAATAAATGGCCATGAGGAAATTGTGTACAAGTGAATAATCTCAACCCTGACTTTGAAATGCACAGAACGTTTTTTTTTTTGGACCAAATTTAAGGTACTGTGGGTGGCCTTGTTATTGTTAGCTTTTTAATAATAATATTATGATGTAGAAAAATACAGTAATTATTTGACTACTGGACCTTTGTCCAGTAGATTTGTTGTGGTGTATTTACTTTATGTAAAGGGGAGGTAGTGTGGGCCCTCTGTAACTATATACAACAGTTACTGTGTCATTTTGAATTTTTAGTTTTAGTAATTGGAGATACCTGCCCATTGTGCGACCCTAGGCTTTACTATTATCAAATGACAGAAGAGGAAAGCAACACATGCCTAGGTTATGTACCATTGACTCACTTCGAAGTGGTTATGTGATTTAGAATTGGACCCAAAAAAAGACCGGGGCCGAGTTGTTCAAAAGAGCGATTAGCACTAACCCAGGGTTAGATTTTAACCGGCGTTTCTTTTTTCTTTTAATCAAAAGCATTTTGTCAGATAATTTTCTCTTTTCTTTTTTAAGTATCAAATCACCAAATTGTAGACAAAACGAATTATTCAAATGAATTTGTTTTTAAAACTTTCATATCTGAATTCATATTTCGTACTAACCTTGGGTTATCTTTACCCAGCTTTGAACAACCCAGCCTGGAAGGATAAATGCTGCATGTTAATTTGTTTCACCGCCTTAGTTTTTTCTTTATAGCTTTAAACTTTTCATGATCCAAGGCCAACTCAGAGCTCCTGTAACCCAGTGTTGGTCTGTTCATTTTTTATGAGGGGGCTTTGTCGGGTGGGATTTGACTGGTAGCTCCTGTATGTGAAGACCATCTCTTCATCAGAATTTTTGTTGGGAAGCCACAACCCTGCTCCTTGTATCCCAAGATCAAATAACCAGGATTCAGGTGAATTTTAGCCAGCAAAAATGCTATGACTTTTTTGGATTGAATGGGTAGTACTTCATGAACAGTAAAACTCAAAATCAACATTAAAATCAGTGAAACTCAAACTCAGGGTTGCAAACAACAGAGTAAGAAAAATTAGCCTTTCATAAATTTGTCGGCTGAGTTAATATTGTTCAAATAAAATTGTGAGCAGTTTCACCATATTTTGTTGTAGTATTGGCTGATGGGTTTTCAAAATGTGGTCATTTTTAGGAAGCCCACCATCGAGATGCGGTCATCTCTAGGTGGGCAGTCAAAACTACAACAAATACCGGTTAAACTAAAATTGTTGGTTTTAATTTGAATTAAGTTTGTTGGTTAAATGGCCATGAGGAAATTATGCACAAGTGAATAATCACAACCCTGAGTTTGAAATCCACAAAACTTTTTATTTTGGACCACATTTGATTTTTTAGTATGATGTACAAAAAATACAGTAAATGATCTGACTACTGGACCTTTGTCCAGTAGATTTGTTGTAGTGTATTTACTTGTATAATGAAGGGGAGGTAGTGTGGGCCCTCGATCTGTACGGTATAGAACAGTTACTGTGTGATTTTGAATTTCTAGTTTTAGTACTCGGACATCCTTGCCCGTTGTACGACCCTAGGCTTTATTATAATCAAATGACAGAAGAGGAATGCAACACATTCCCAGGTTGTGTACCATTGACTCACTTCAAAGTGGTTATGTGATTTAGAATTATTGGACCCTAAAAAAGACGGGGGCCCAGTTGTTCCAAAGACCGATTAGCACTAACCCAGGGTTAGATTTTAACCCGCGTTTCTTTTTCCTTTTAATCAAAAGCATTTTGTCAGATAATTTTCTCTTTTCTTTTTTACGTATCCAGTCACCAAATTGTAGACAAAAGGAATTTAAATCAATTTGTTTTTGAAACTTTCATATCTGAATTCATATTTCGTACTAACCTTGGGTTATCTTAACCCAGCTTTGAACAACCCAGCCTGGGAGAATAAATGCTGCATGTTAATTTGTTTCACCGCCTTAGTTTTTTCTTTATAGCATGACGAGATTCATACAACTTTGAAATTCACCACAGGGAGGAAGTTTCAATTTCCGGTGTCCTTGTAAAAACCTAATTAGGATTCAATTAATAGCTGCTAATCTGTCATGACTTGTGTACTTTGCGTCACTGATGGAAAACGACCTGAGACGAAAGACAGATACTATTTTAGGTTCCTTTGTATCATCTTCAAATGGCTACCTATTATCATTTTAGCGCGAAAACGTTTTAAGGTCGACACTAATCCCTCGATCATTTCATAAATTCTCAATAACTGCTAACGATGTGAAAGTGTAATGTTCATGGAGAATGTTGATGGAGATCACTATTTCTTAAGCCTGATCGCAAACAGTTCAATTCAGTCAGAGTTCAGTTTTTAAGTGTGGATCGTAGTGGATATTTTCAATTTTATCGAATCCATTTTAAGAAAACAGGAAAATTTATTTTGCCAAAGCCAGTGGCTATCAATTGTCGGTTAAAGTGAGTAAAATTTCATAAACCAAAAATTGATTTACAGATTAAAGCTTTATTTAATTTTGCACTGATTAGATCTGTGAAGATGATAGTGCATGTCCCGCATTAAGTAAAACAGTTTAGCCTTGCTGATGCAAC